CCATCCCCGAGGCCTCCAAGTTGATAAAAATCCTTTTGTAAAAGGGAGACTCCAGTTAGCTACCCTCCAGGGATTGGTATGTGCTTTGTGGGGGAGCATTTTCGTTCTTCATCCGGGTCAGAGTTGAGCCTGGGAGGTATAGACGCTTCATCCGGGTCAGAGGCAGGTGCAGCCCAGCCGAACGTCCAGCAAAGCGTCTACACTCAAAACTGGGGCTCCTGCCAGGCTTCCTGGGCTGAGGGGGAGAATTACACTCTTCAGGCAAGGACTCTCGCCTCTCCCCACGCCAGCCCGGAGCTCCAGCTCTGAAAACCCCCAGGGCAGGGCTTTGCCTCCAGGGGGCCGAGTGAGGGGCCCGGGCCAGTCTTCCACCTCTGGGACCCTGGGACCCAACACCTGCCCTGAGGGTCGTCTCCAGACGTCCCACATCTGCCCATCCTGTACCCTGCAAACCCTGGCCCCTCTGGGACTGTCCCACGACACCTACCCACTGCTTCCCAGGAAGGGGTCCGTGCCCACCTTGGTCTCGGCCTATCAGTGCTCCGGAGAAGTCCCAGGACAAGAAGAGAAGGGGTGGGTGGGGGTGGGCAGCCCCTGGGGGTCTGGGAGGGCGCCCTCTCGTGGAAGATGTGGCGGCGGCCCCCCAAGCCGGTCCCGATGGCCATTTGAGGAAAGGCGTCTGGGGCCGGAAGGCCCGACCCGGTCGTCCCAAACCTCCCGGCTCACTGGCCCCCACCCACCCCGGGAGGACTCCCTGCCTGCTCGGCGTGCAGCCCCGGCGCCCGCCACGTGTCTGAGACCCGAGTGAGCCCCAGTCCCCACTGCGGCAGCACCCAGTCCCGGCTGCAGGCAGGGCCTCCCCCACCCCAGGGAAAGCAGAGCTGCCCCTCAAGAACCTTGCTGTGCCCCCCAGACAGAGCAGCAGGATGATCCCGCCAGCCGCCCTGCCCACGCTGGGGCCTCCAGGGAGGCGCTCGGCCACGTGCTCCCCACAAAAGCTGCCGTGGAGGACGAGGACCGTGGCTGCCAGCGCCTCCCGAGCTCAGGGGCCCTGGGCCTGTCACCTTCGGCAGCTGCCAGCCATCCGACCGGGCCCCTGGTCTCAGCAGCAGCTGGAGGGCGGGGCCTGAGGGCAGCTCCCGGGCCAGATGGCCGCCTGGCCAGCTGCATCCAGGGGGCTCTGCCTGTGACAGCCCCCGCCATCCCCGTGCAGAGACTTCGCCGGGCCAGAGAGGGGATCCGAGGGCTGGGGTGGCCAGCTGGGACAGCCCCTCCTGGCGGGGGGGGGGGGGCAGGAGGACCTAAGTCAGGTCTTCCTGCCGGAGAGGGACAGGGGGCCTCCAGTCCCTACGGCAGTGACACCCCGCCTTCCGTGGCTCATCCCTACCTGGGCTGGCCTCCCCGGCTCCCACAGGCAGTGTCCTGACCTCTTTCACCCCCCCTCTACACTGCACAGCCTCTCTCAGGGCCCCAAGGAGCACTTTGTCCCCCCAGCCAGGCAGGGCAGCCCAGGATCTCGGGCCTGGCTGGGGAGCTGTCCGCTCAGACCCCAGGGACAGCCAGCCTCCCTCCCTGCGTCCATGGCCTGGAGGCCAGACCTGGGGAAGCCACGCTGGACAGGTAGGCACCACGGAGCGCTCAGGGCTTGGTTGGACATCCGTCATAGAAGCCACCGCATTCACCCAAGAGACGTTTGTTTACTGAACCCCCGTTTCAGGCCCAGCCAACTTCTTGGCGTCGTGAGATGGCGTGGTCACATGTAGTGGGGAGCACCCTGGAGAAGTCTAAGGCCCAGAAAGCAGCAGATGGACCTGGGGGGGCTCTTAGCCAGGTGGTCAGGGGAGTTCACTCTCAGGGGGAACTGGGGGGCGGGGGGGGGGG